CACTTCATTGCAGTCTTCTAGGCACTGAAAACGGTTTTGTAACTCGACCTGAAAGGTTTCGGGACTTTGGAACAGAGCACGAGGGGGACGGAGCGTCGACTTCATTAGACGAGACCTCTCCAACTTAACGTTTAGGTTCAGTGTGCCTCTAACCATTCGGTGATCGCTACCAGTTTTCACCCTCGCGTTCACGGAGACATCACTGAACAGTTGTCGTCTGGTCGTCATAATGAAGTCAATCTCATTTTTTGTCGAACTGTCGGGGCTCGACCAGGTCCACTTGCTGTGGGGCCGCTTCTGGAAGAAAGAGTTCATCATAAAGAGTCCCTCTTTCTCCATGAAGTCGGCCAGCTGCTGGCCCCTTGGGTTTCGTTGCCCTATTCCAAATTTCCCTACTTTCAGCTCACCGTTCTCTCTTGTGCCTAGTTTTGCATTGAAGTCTCCCATTAACACCGTATATTGGGTTTTGGAGGAATGCATGGCTCTAGAGATATCCTCATACATTTCCTCCACCTCCTTATCGGGGTGTGCCGAGGTTGGTGCGTAAACCTGTATGACCTTCAGCGAATACCGTTTGGTGATTCTGAGTATAAGGTACGCAACCCTCGTCGACACACTCCCGATCTTTACAACATTGTTAACGAGAGACTTGTGGACGATAAATCCGATACCTCCTTGGGACAGATGGTCGCCCTCCTGGTGATAGAGCAAGTTGCCGGATTCGAGGATTACCGTGTCCTCCCCCTCTCTTCGGACTTCGGATAATCCTATAATATGCCAGCGCAACTTGTCTATCTCTTCTTCCAGCTCCACGATCTTCTCATCAGTCCTCAGGGTGCGTGCGTTGGACGTTGCCAGGTCAAGTCGTCTAAGGTGGCAACCGAACATCCACCGGAAATTCTTAGCACCCCCTGCCCCGCCGTTACCATGGTCGCCACCGTAGCCAGGAATAGCGGGGCCGCCGGGGACTGGGGAGGCCGACTGTTTGTTGCTTTAGTCATTGGGGGGTATTTGCTATAGTTGCCACGCTTGGCGAGCGGGTTGGCAACCGCAGTTTTTTTATTATAATTTTGGCTATTATCAGGAAGATGCTGCTGCCCATCTTCTGCCTGTTTCCCTTTGTCGCCTTTTACGACACCCACGGGAGGTTATGGGGTAGTGGATATTCTTGACCGCCACTACACGGCAATATAGCGCATATTAATATTAATCTTCTCATTATCAACCCAAACAGTAACTCGTTGATTCCAATAGAGATTATATATGATACGTATATCCTTGCTATCTAAATCGATATTTTACACTCGATGAAAAGCTTTTTCGTAATCGATGAAGCAAAGAAAAACACCCTGCTGAATATCTTAACATTATTGCACCAAAACCGGTATTGTAAATAGAGCGTCTCTTGTATCAACTCCTTTTCTAAAGCCGAACTGGCTATCTGCAAATTTTTCGTCACATTTGACTCTTATGCGTTCGTAAATGATATGTAGAAATTATTTCAATGCTTGACTCATAAGGATAATTGTTCGGAATCCTTTGCATTTTTTGGCGTTGGCTTTTTTAGGGAGTTTAATGAAAGATAATGTTAACCAGTGCTTAGGTAAGTGGCCTGAATGATATATAATCTTAAAAAAAAAATTAACGACGGCATCAATATTTTCTTCCTCAATAAGTTTGAGTAACTCTATGTGAACATCATCTGGGCCAACTGATTTTCCAGTTTTGGCTTTTTTTAGAGCCTTTGTAACTTCGCTTTTCAAGATAAAAAACCCATCACTCAAATCACAGGGTACAGCTACGTGAATCATCAGCGAACATTGACGAGATGTACTATTCCCATAGGTGTTTTTTTACTTATTGTATCCAGTATAGGGAAATTGTATTCATCTACGAGTTGGTATGTGGTATTTTATATCCAATAAAAGAACTTATTTCCTTAACGTTCTTAACGGATCTTGAAGTCTTGCAGTTGTATGCTTGGATTGGGATTTAATTTTCTTAATTATGGAATCCCAAGAAGATGGTAGCACCCAGCCATTTTCTCTGTTGAAATTAGGATGTTTTTTGATTTCAATAGCCTCGTGAATCATCCTTGGAAGGAATCGGTGTTCTTTAGCGAAGATTTGTGGTCTATCAAATCTAATGTCTATCAAATCCTGTACGTTTTCACAGACTGCAGACTTATCGGAGCGTCGATACTTCACATCAGCTATGTATTTTTAATGCGTATTTTTATTGATCTTTTAGTTTGTCCTATATAAGAGAGACCACATTCACAATTAAGCTTGTACACTCCTGTGTACTGACTAATCTTCTTCGGTGGCTTGAAGTATGTTTTAAAGCAAGCTTTTCTAGATATGTTAGTAATTCGGAATCCTGATAACATATTGAGTCACATTGTGTATAGAAAAAAGACCAATACATATAGATATTTAAACGGTGATTCTCATCACCATCCTTCACAGTTAGCTACTGCGTGCTCGTTTGTTCCGTCTTATATATATATATATATATATATATATATATATATATATATATATATATATATATATATATATATATATATATATGTAAAGAAAATGTATTTCTTTAATATTTTGTCTGTGTGTTTTATCTGTGGTTTTATCTATATTTGTGTAGTGTAGATATAATCTGTGAAATAACATATTGACTGTAATGACTGTTGACAATGATAAGCTGCCTGTAGAAAATTATAATTTAAGTTTATTAAAAACAGAATTTTTACAAAGGGAATTGACATATTAAGGAATAAACTTTAAATGTCGTTTCTTTGTTTACAGGTTTGTTTTTAGTTATTATTGTAATAGTGTAGTTTCGTAATGGAACTTAAAATTAATGAAATATAAAACTTTGTTTACAGAGCAACACAACATAGTTTATTTTAGTCAACCCTAAAAACAATATAACTTACGTCTTATAAAACGACATTTTTGGTTATAAAATCCAAACAAAAAAAAAATGGAGAAACTTTGTTTTGAATTTACGCTATTACCTGGAAGCGATGGAAAGTCAAACATTTTTTCTATAACCTCAATAACCACGAGTGAAAATAAAATGTATGCAATACCAAAAGAGTTCCAATCAGCTAGTCATCATAGAGAAATAATGAAAACAGCTGCTTATAATAAAGTGAAAAATAGTTTACAAAAAAGATACCAGATTAGAAGAGTCTGGATAACTGTGACAGAAGATCTTAAAAGAACGTACATAGATGAGGATGGTAATTTACAATTTGGGGATCAATTTCTAGAAGAATTAAACCAAGAAAAACTTGTTGACAAAATATGTCAAAAAGAAGCAAGTACATTAGAAAGATTATTTGAGAAATTTGTAGAAAGCACAAAGGAAAATAGACAGCAGAGCTTAAAACACATTGCAGAAAAATTTGTGATAGAAAAATTTACAAGCAAGAATTCTAATGCAAACCAGTGGATTGATATCTTTGAAAAAGAATGCATACGCTTTGATGTGACTACAGACGAAAAGAAAATTGAAATGCTTAGATTATTTATGGACGGTTCTTGTGTAGATTGGTACAGCTCAATGATTATAAAATTAACAATGAACTCTGAATGGCTGACATGGAAAAACAAATTTTGTGAAACATTTGCAAACAAAGGATGGAACCCAGTTACTTACGCATTATTATTTAAATATAAAGATGGTTCATTGTTGGATTATGCTATGAGAAAAGAAAAACTTTTATTGGGTATGAGGAGATCAATTGACACAGGTACCTTGGTGGATCTTATTGCAGCTGGCTTACCAGAATTCATACTTAATAAAATTGATAGGGAAACATTAAAAGATACAGTAGATTTGTTTAATGAAGTAAGCAGATATGAACACATGGTAAATAAAAAAAGTTTTCAAGGTAAGAATAAATATGCAAATGTAAGGACTTATGATAAAAATGAAGATCACAATCCGTGTAAGATTTGTGAAAAATTAAATAAAGGTACCCGTTATCACTCTGAAGCTACATGTTGGTTTAAATCAAAACAAGATGATAAGGTAAAGAAAAATATAATTAAACACGTAAACAATTCGGTAATAGAAGCAGAATTAAATGAAACTTATCCAAAAAACGAATAGAAACACCATTAATAAATGTCAAACTACAATTGAATGATAAATTAAAAATATATGGAGTTTACGATTCAGGTTCGAATGTTTCTCTGAGAAATGCGAAGTTACTAAAACTAAAAGGAAAGAGAAACAGTTTGAATGAAGCAGATTTAGTAACTATTAATGGTGTTAAAAAAACAAGTGGTTTGACAACCTTGAAAATAAAAATATTTGATTTAGAATATAGTGTTGATGTATACATTATTGATGATAAAAATTTCAAATATGATTTTTTAATTGGATTAGACTTGATAAAAAAGTTCAAATTAATCCAAAATGAAGATTTAAAAATAACTCAGAAACAGAGTCTGAATAATGAAAATGAAAATATAGTAGAAGAAATTTCTACAAATAAACAAACAAATACTGAATTAAAAAGTAAAAAAAATAACACAACGAAAGAATACAAAATAAATTTTAATGAACATGTAAGAGAAGAAGACTTTGAAATAAAAATAAATCATTTAAATCACTATCAAAAATTAGAAATAAATAAACTGATTTGCCAATATAAATCAGTATTTGCAAAAAAACAAATACGATGTGGGTACTGTTAAAGGATATGAAGCGAGGATAGACTTATTAGTAGATAAATATTGTAGTAAGAGACCTTACAGATGCACTTTTGAAGATAAAAAAGAAATCGAAGAACAAATAGCAAAATTACTAGATAAGAATCTGATAGAGGAATCATGCAGTCCATTCGCTGCACCTGTTACTTTAGCATTTAAAAAATAAGAAAACAAAAAATCCCGACTGTGTATAGACTTCAGAGATTTAAATAAAATAGTGATACCTCAAGCTCAACCATTTCCATTAATTGAAGATCTAATGATAAAAACTAGGAACTGCAAATTTTTTTAACTCTAGATATTAACTCTGCATTTTGGTCTATTCCTCTTCGAATCGAAGATAGAAAAAAGACAGGATTCGTAACACAGGAAGGACATTTCCAATGGACATGCCTACCTTTTGGACTAAAGACCTCGCCGGCAATTTTTCAGAGGATATTAAGTAATATTTTGAGGAAGTATAAACTTACTGATTTTACGGTTAATTACATAGATGATATCCTTATATTTTCGAAATCTTTTACTGAACACATTAACCATCTTTCACGTTTGCTGGAAGCAATAAAAACAGAAGGTTTCAGATTAAAATTTCAAAAATGCACATTTGCATCAGACTCAGTGAAATACTTGGGTCATGTAATACAAAATAATTCTATCAGACCAGTAAAGGACAATTTAATTTCAATAAAAAAATTTCCTGTTCCAAAAACGCAGAAAAATATAAGACAATTTCTAGGAAAAATTAATTTTTACCTTGATTATATACCGAGAAGTTCAATAATACTAGACCCATTGCATAATTTACTCAGAAAAAATCAAAAGTTCATTTGGTCTGATGATTGTCAAAAAGCATTTGAAATGATAAAAAGCCTGCTATGCTCCCAACCAGTTCTTGAAATTTTTGATCAAGATTTACCAATCAATATTTATACAGATGCTTCTTTGGAAGGTATAGGAGCCATTTTAAAACAGACACAACCTAATGGAAAAGAAAAACCAGTGGCTTACTTTTCAAAAAAGTTAAATGAAGCACAAAAGAAGAAAAAAGCTATATACTTAGAATGTTTAGCTATCAAAGAAGCAGTGAGATACTGGCAATACTGGTTGATAGGTAAATCATTTACAGTTTATTCAGACCACAAACCACTGGAAAACATGAATCTGAAATCTAGAACCGATGAAGAGCTGGGTGATTTAATATATTATCTCTCACAGTATGAATTCAGGAAAAGAAAATTTGGAAGCAGACTGTCTAAGCAGAAATCCAGTATTAGAATCAAATGACAACACAGATGAACAATTAAAAATTGTGAACTTAATTAAACTGGAAGATATTGTTACAGATCAAAATAAAAATGAAGAAATACAAAATAACAAAAACAAATTGATTGAAAAACAGAGTATATTCTACAAAAAGATAAGGAAAAAAGAAAAAATAATCCTATCAGAAGAGTTAAGTATAAAACTCTTAAAAAATATACATGAAAACCTATGCCATATTGGAATCGGACAAATGCAAAAGACTGTTAGTCCGCTATACACAGCCAAAAATTTCATAAAAAACATCAAAAAAATTTGTACAAGCTGTGAAATTTGTATTAAAAATAAATCAAGAGGACATGACCGATTTGGCTTGATGTCTCATCTAGGTCCAGCTACAAAGCCTTTCGAAATAGTCTCTATAGATACATTTGGAGGTTTTGGAGGTTCAAGATCGACAAAAAAGTATTTACATCTGTTAGTAGACCATTTTACAAGATATGCATTTATTTTAACCTCAAAAACTCAGAGTGCCAATGATTTTATAAAACTAATTACAAACATAACAGAAACGGAGGACATTGGTATAATTCTCACCGACCAATACCCGGGAATCAATTCAAAAGATTTTAAGAAATTCTTAAATGACAAACGGATACCTTTGGTCTTCACAGCAGTAAATGCACCATTCTCAAATGGCCTCAATGAGAGATTGAATCAAACATTAGTGAACAAAATCAGATGTAAAATAAATGGAGAAGGAAAAAAAAGAGCCTGGACAACAATAGCTCAAGAATGTGTAAATAAATATAATGATACTATTCACTCAGTCACTGGCTTTACACCGAGTTATCTTTTGTATGGTAAGGATGTTACAATTTTACCAAATGAATTAAAACAAGAAATATCAAATAAGGACTGGATCAGAGACAGAAAATCTGCACTTGAAAATACTATGAAATCACATAACTACAACAAAACACTATTCGACAAAAATCGAAAATACTATGAATTTAATGTAGGAGACATGGTGTATGTGGAAAATGGAAAAAAAATAAACAGAAAAAAATTAGATGAACTGAGAATTGGACCTTATGAGATAGTTGAAAAAATTTCAAACTCAATATACAGAATTGAAACTGGTCACAAAAAAACTGAATCAAATCTTTTCCACATCACAAAAATTATTCCAGTCCGTTCATTTGACGAAGAAGAAACAGAAGATGAGAAGGTTACCTGAACATTTTGTTGTAAATGTTCTTTCCCGAGGGGGGGGAGATGTAAAGAAAATGTATTTCTTTAATATTTTGTCTGTGTGTTTTATCTGTGGTTTTATCTATATTTGTGTAGTGTAGATATAATCTGTGAAATAACATATTGACTGTAATGACTGTTGACAATGATAAGCTGCCTGTAGAAAATTATAATTTAAGTTTATTAAAAACAGAATTGTTACAAAGGGAATTGACATATTAAGGAATAAACTTTAAATGTCGTTTCTTTGTTTACAGGTTTGTTTTTAGTTATTATTGTAATAGTGTAGTTTCGTAATGGAACTTAAAATTAATGAAATATAAAACTTTGTTTACAGAGCAACACAACATAGTTTATTTTAGTCAACCCTAAAAACAATATAACTTACGTCTTATATATATATATATATATATATATACATATATATATATCTTATAAAATATATTAATAACCATTAAGACTCCGAACCAACTCAAAATAATATTCTGTTTTTGTGTCGCCCTTGATTTCCGATCCGGAGAGGCATTGCATATTTGCATACGGTCAGGCAAAACGCTTGTGACACTATATTCGAGATGAGGTTTATAGACCTACATGGATCATGGTGGCTTTTGTTGCGCTTTGTTTTAGAAAATAAATCAAATTTTCAGTATTGATTTTTCCCGTGTAGAGAATTTCGCTAAATCCTTCTGATTTAAAAACATTTCGATACACTTTTTTAAATAAAACTAATTTTACGGATTCTATCGCGTATATTAACTTATTTTTATATATTCCCGACGTTTCGAGTGCTTTCCAGCACCCGTGGTCACGGGGGACTGAGTTGTTTGACGTCCTGCTGTCATAGTTAGCCCGGCTACCTTCAGTTTTTTAATATTAATTTTTGGTTCGATTTACGCAGAATGAGCTTACAGTATCTTGAAGTCTAGCAGTGGTATACTTGGGTTTGGATTTGATTTTATTAATAATGGGATCCCAAGCAGATGGCAGCACCCATCCATCTTCTCTATTGAAATTAGGATGTTTTTTAATTTCAATAGCCTCGCGAATCATCCTTGGGAGGAATCGGTGTTCTTTTGCGAGGATTTGTGGTCTATCAAATCTAATGTAATGGCGGGGACGATCTTGAACATGTTCACAAACTGCAGACTTCCCGATACGTCGGTGCTTCACGTCAGCTATATGTTCTTTAACGCGGGTTTTATTAGATCTTTTTGTTTGTCCTATGTACGAGAGACCACATTCACAATCCAGCTTGTACACTCCTGCATCTTGTAGAGGGATTTGACACTTGACGGATGGTAAAAATTGACTAATCTTCTTCAGCGGCTTGAAGTACGTTTTAATGGAAGCTCGCTTCAAGATGTAGCCAACCTTGTCTGTGACTCCTCTGACATAGGGTAGTACAGCAGGCACACGCTCGACTGTGGCTGGCTTCACTCGGTCACTGTGACGTAGGCGCGGGACCCGAAGCTTGTTGTCTTGCAGTACTTGCTCGACGTGCTGAAGCTCGGCGGCCAGATGTTTTCTGTCACAGATCCCTCGTGCTCTCTGAAACAAAGATTTTCCCACGGTAGCTAACTGTGAAGGATGATGGTGAGATTCACCATTTAAATATCGGTTGGTATGGGTATTTTTTCTGTAGACAGTATGACCAATAGTGTTATCAGGATTTCGGATGACTAAAACATCTAGAAAAGCTAAAGTATTGTTTGCCTCTAACTCCATTGTGAATTGTATTTTAGGGTTTATGGAATTAAGGTGGTTTAAAAATGCAGTTACTTTGTCAGATGGTAAAATTGTGAAAGTATCGTCTACGTACCGCTTGTAGAATCTTGGATTTACAGGAGCAGTAAGAAGGGCTTTCTCCTCAAAGTCCTCCATGAATATGTCGGCGACTACGGGAGATACAGGTGAGCCCATTGCCACTCCGTCTACTTGCATGTAGAACTCTTCTTTCCACAATAAATAGCCAGATGTGAGGCAGTGTTTGAGTAATACTGCATATTCTGTAGGCATGTTGTTATCTTCTAGCTTTCTAGTAACAATTGAGATGCAGTCTTCAATAGGTAGGCATGTGAATAGTGACTGAACATCAAAACTGACCATAGTTTCATTGTCAGCGAGATGTAGGTCTTTAATCTCACTAACAAAATGGTATGAATCCTTTGTGTGTGCTCTGGTATGTCCTCTTAGTGGTGACAGTATTTTTGCCAAGTGTTGAGCCAACTTATAAGTTGGTGAATCGATCTGGCTTACTATAGGACGTAGTGGAGCGTTTGGTTTGTGTATTTTCGGTAACCCATACAACCTCGGTGGTTTGGCACAGGATGTTATTCAGGTGAATTCGACAAGATTAAAGACCTACATCTCGCTGACAATGAAACTATGGTCAGTTTTGATGTTCAGTCACTATTCACATGCCTACCTATTGAAGACTGCATCTCAATTGTTACTAGAAAGCTAGAAGATAACAACATGCCTACAGAATATGCAGTATTACTCAAACACTGCCTCACATCTGGCTATTTATTGTGGAAAGAAGAGTTCTACATGCAAGTAGACGGAGTGGCAATGGGCTCACCTGTATCTCCCGTAGTCGCCGACATATTCATGGAGGACTTTGAGGAGAAAGCCCTTCTTACTGCTCCTGTAAATCCAAGATTCTACAAGCGGTACGTAGACGATACTTTCACAATTTTACCATCTGACAAAGTAACTGCATTTTTAAACCACCTTAATTCCATAAACCCTAAAATACAATTCACAATGGAGTTAGAGGCAAACAATACTTTAGCTTTTCTAGATGTTTTAGTCATCCGAAATCCTGATAACACTATTGGTCATACTGTGTACAGAAAAAATACCCATACCAACCGATATTTAAATGGTGAATCTTACCATCATCCTTCACAGTTAGCTACCGTGGGAAAATCTTTGTTTCAGAGAGCACGAGGGATCTGTGACAGAAAACATCTGGCCGCCGAGCTTCAGCACGTCGAGCAAGTACTGCAAGACAACAAGCTTCGGGTCCCGCGCCTACGTCACAGTGACCGAGTGAAGCCAGCCACAGTCGAGCGTGTGCCTGCTGTACTACCCTATGTCAGAGGAGTCACAGACAAGGTTGGCTACATCTTGAAGCGAGCTTCCATTAAAACGTACTTCAAGCCGCTGAAGAAGATTAGTCAATTTTTACCATCCGTCAAGTGTCAAATCCCTCTACAAGATGCAGGAGTGTACAAGCTGGATTGTGAATGTGGTCTCTCGTACATAGGACAAACAAAAAGATCTATTAAAACCCGCGTTAAAGAACATATAGCTGACGTGAAGCACCGACGTATCGGGAAGTCTGCAGTTTGTGAACATGTTCAAGATCGTCCCCGCCATTACATTAGATTTGATAGACCACAAATCCTCGCAAAAGAACACCGATTCCTCCCAAGGATGATTCGCGAGGCTATTGAAATTAAAAAACATCCTAATTTCAATAGAGAAGATGGATGGGTGCTGCCATCTGCTTGGGATCCCATTATTAATAAACGTCGGGAATATATAAAAATAAGTTAATATACGCGATAGAATCCGTAAAATTAGTTTTATTTAAAATGTGTAGTGTTCGCGTAAATATAAGAAATCATTATTTCGATACACTGCTTTAGATAATGTACATTTAAATTTATTTTAAATTTTTTACAAATTATGAAAAAATTATCTTTGAGGCCCACATATATTAATTTATTTTATATAATAGAGATTACAAACAAGCATATAGTCCAACGGGTGGTAAGTGGATGATGTGTCCTACAGATAGACATGGCAAGTGAATACACTTGCCCACGCACATCTACCATCTCTTAAAAAACAAAAGGCAAATGAGTTGTCACGCCTGAAGACTAAGATGAAATGCCTCGTTACCTGTTAAAGGAGTATCCGGATTTCTATATCCACCACTCAAATTTCAGCGGCATCGTGCTGCTATTTCACGCTTGAATTCTGAGAGAGTGCGTTCTTTCCCCGGTTGAGCCGACCTATTCGTTCTGTGGCTATAATACAGGTGCAGCGTGGCTCTATCGCGAAAAATTAAAACACGTAAGTTCTTCAAACATCACAGTTTATCGACGTGATACGAAAGGTTTTATAATCCGAGCAAAGTTTTATTTGAGTTAACCTTATCTAAGCAACTGAAACCAAAAGTTTATGTCCACTAAAATTTTCACCCGGAGAATAATGTACTGTTTCGGAACAAAATTATGCCCAAATTTATTTTCAACAGCAGACGTGATACGGGACTAAAAGACATTTCACAACGTAAACTTTTATCTCTTTTTTGCTTAACGTTTATTTTTGTATATAATGTTTTAAAATAATTCCATATTTAATAAAATAAATGCTACGGAAAAGTCAGGTCAAGCCTTAGAAAAAAACAGAACAAACAGAAACCTTGCAAAATGAAACGGTATACAATTTAATTTTTAAAATCTAACTTAGACTATAAATTAGTTTATTTCCACAACCTTGGACACATTAAGTTGAATATTGAAAAAGACTCATTGAAGATGTCTCGCATAGTTTCATTCGACACAAATATGGCTAGTGCTGTGGTAACTTAGATTTAGAATAAGATGCATTTATATTTTTGAACGTAGTAGAGCCACGCTGCAGTTTGCTTGAGGAATGACTACCATCGTAATATAGCAGCATAATGCTGATGCTTATGTGTTTCCAATGTTGAGTTACGAAAACCGGAGATCTTATTTTTTTATTAGTAACGAAGCTTTTTATCTTACGAACTGTTTAATTGGCTGCTTCTTTGGTATAGTGGTTGTAAACGCGAATGCTGATTCTGAGGTCGCAGGTTCGAATCCAGAAACGGGTCAAAAAAAATATTGAGTTTTCCTATCAAGAAATTGTCAGCAGCAGGCCAGAGTCAGGAATAAGGCGGTGACTCGGAAAGCACGTAAAACCGTTGGTCTTGCGCCTGATCTC